ACAGAGATGAGATCGAGCTATGTGATAAAAATCAGTTCCTAAAGTATATAAATATATAAAACCTTTCATGAACGAATTTTGGTGACGTTTGTCAATCGGTGGAGACGCAAGGTTAGGAAGTTTTCTTGGGAAATAAGAATTTTTTCATGCAATTTATTTCATCTCAAGAGAAATGGCGTTGTGGATCGGCTCTACGGCCAAGACCAAAGTTTATACGAATTAATTTCCCTATTGTGACACGCACACGTTGCAGATCCTTGAGAGGTTACTGAATGCAGGTCTGTTAATTAGAAAAAAAATATGGTTGACTCGCCCAAATGGGCTATGTTTGAATACGAAAATCAGCTACTGAATAGCAAATTTGCTCGTGTTTTTCGATTCTGCCTCACATTGATTACAAATATATTTATTCCTTCTTGTACCGCTGCCTCTAAAGAACAAATTGAAGCTTTGTGGATTCCATTATTCAAAAACAATCTAACGTTTATTTTTCTAGTAATTTATATTATTAGAAAAATAAACGTCAAATTGTTTTTATAGGAACAACATTTCTATTTAATTTTTTTCTATTTATTCATAACGCCCCCTAGGTGGCGTTGTATGAAGTATAAAAAGAAAGCGCACAAATTCTATCTCTTCCTTTTCTTTTCAAGCAAAATGCCGTAGTGACAAGACGTGTCTCATTTCTTATCTGGGGTTCTTCTTAGCCCCCAACTAGATTACGTGTCGCATGAACACATTACATTGTCTCTGTTAAAAGAAAAACTCCTATGCGACGACAGTAACATAACCATAAGAATCTATTAATCAAATAAGCATCTCCATACAAAAGAAGAAAATAGCACAGTTCAATAAACGAGACATTTCTTGTCACTACAGCATCCTGCGGTTGAAGAGAGAAGATAGAGAATTTATGCCATTTCCTTTGGAATGATTTTGGAATCAGTCTGTATAGGATTAAGGAAACCTTCTCTCCGTTGGCAGAAAGAATTTGTGAAGTCCCTTAATCTGTTGGGGGATATTTTATTTTAACTGTCCCTCGCTAATTTATTTACACGTTATTTCCCCTCCCCTCGTTACAAGTATATACACTTGTTTGTTATTTTAGCGCGTCCCCCCTTTTTTTCTTACTCTTTATTTTCATTACTGTTCTTTTCGTTAATTAATGATCCAACGATTGTCTCCTGATGAGATGTTGGTTGAAAGGGCCTTAGAGACTAATAAAATTAAAATCAATAAATTCCTAGTTTATAAAACTGTATATAATTTTTTTTTACCTCTAAACATTTGTATATATATATATATATATATATATATATATATATATATATATATATATATATATATATATATATCTAGTGACATAATAGAATATTTTTGACTTGTGTTTATATATCGTTTATATTGTTATTAGTAGACCCTCAAAAGTACTTTCTTCGGAGAGAATTATGTTCTTTTTTATTTAGGGAGGCATTACTAAAATAGTAAATAGTAAAGTAGATAGATATATGTATATATATTTATAATGAACTATCCAGTTGATTTCGCTATATTAGGGTCTAACAGGTCAGTTTAGGATTGGACAACCAGACTATCTACATATATTATTTGATTATAGTTGCAAAGGTTTCTTTGGGACCAGTCACATTTTAGTAAGAATCGATAGCAAGGAAAGAGTGTACAATGTTCAATGAAATGCCAAAACACCTTTTACCATAATGGAATTTAGAATAATTTTTCTCGATGCAAGAGAACTTATCTGTTATTTAACCTGTAGCTGGGGGAAGATTAATTACCTATTCTAAAGGCGTTAGTGCGATGTGAACGAAATGGCATCGACGGGAATTTGAACGAAATGGCATCGACGGGAATTTGAACTCGGCTTGGCTAGCGACTTCTTCTTCCGAGCAGATAACGGATACACTATCCGCACGTCAGCTGCTCTGTGTGTGTGCGTGTGTGTGTTTGTGTGTGTGTGTGTGTGATAAAAGGTTGCAATTTACTTTCGCAAAAATAGTTTTTCTTTACTTGCTCAAGATTCACTGATTCTTGTTTCTACTGATCAACAAAATAACAAGGTGATTTGTTTTGTTTTTTTTGGGGTTTTTTTTTTCTTATTCTCCATTCAGTTTTTGCCTTTCCTTCAATCTTGGAGGGTTTCCTGTCGATTAAGCAAATTGTATGTCGTCATGTTCGGCTGATTGATGAGCAAGCCACGAGCAAACATGAACCACAGTTCCTTTTTTTTAATTTATTTCGAAATGATTCGATTCTTTATAAAAAAATATCTCTGGTGCGAAGAAATCTTTATCATCAACAAGGCTTACGGTGTATATTACGTCGAAACAACGGTTCTCACTCGATCACCGATGTCAAGCAACGTCGATTCCGGTCAGTATCTAGATGGGTGACCGCCTTGGAATACCATGTACTCTAAGTTTGGATGCGACGGTGGTGTAATGGATAACGGCTCAGAATTGAAAATCGGAGAGTCGAGTTCCAGTCGGGTTCGTTATATTCATTTGCGCTCAAATGCCGTTGGGAAATATATTTATCCACTTTTCTCTCGTCCCCCGGCTATGGATTAATTAATAAGACTTTAATCAGTAAATCATTTGTATCTCCCAAAACTCTTAAATATTTTCTGGCTAACATTTCAGTTTAGAACTGAACAGCCAGACTACCTGCACATATGATTTGATTATATTGGAAAGGTTTCCGTAGAACCAGCCACAGTTCCGTAAAAATCGATAACAAAGAAATGGTGTAAAATATTCCATGAAATACCTAAACACTCTTCTTCATATGCGAATTTAGAATACTTCTTCTTGTTGACTGGTTATCATCTGAGACAAGAGAACTCATCTGTTATTTAAATCATAGTCGTCGGAAAAGGTTCATAATTCGTAAAAAAAAAAATACGAATTAACAATTTATAACCAATATGGAAATCACTGGCTTGTCTTCTGAAAAGATTGGAAAATTTCCTAACACTGCAAAACAATCTTAACCCAGGATATCTACCTCATGCGAATCTTTCAAGTACCGTGTCTCTTCAAGGTGTTGGTGATCATGGCTTTTCACACTTCTCTGTCCTTTGTAGCTGTTAATAATTTTTGTCTTTTTGTTTTTTCTCCTAAACCCTATTCTCCTATTCATTTACTCAAACTCTCTAGTTAGGTTACGCATTCTTTTCATTTGGTTATTAGTTATTCGCTGATTTCCTCTGTCTCTTTTGACTTCAATCTATCCTGTGAGTATCAAATTTTCCAAGGCCTCTTTCCTCATTCTGTGACCTAGAAATTTCAACTGTGACTTCCTATTGTTAAGTATAAGTGTCTTTTTTCGTTTCATTTTCTCTAAAAAATTTCATTTGAAAAATAGAATCGAAAGAAAGAAATTAATACCTAAGTATGACCCGGACGAGTGTGAGCAAAAATGACGGCGATCTTCTGCATTGCAAATTTAAATCACAGAGTTTCTTTACGAATTATCTCATACTCTTCTGAAACCCAGCGTTACAGAATGCGGAGGCTAGCCCAGGATGGCAAACTACTGATCGTAAGACACCGTGGGCGTGGGATTCTGACAGTGACTTTAGTTAACTTTGGGAAATAAGTCTAAAACGGATGACGAGCGCATTTGCTCCGCAAGAATTTTGAAGACAACACGCCTTCTGCATCCAGATTCGGTGTGTGTTTCTCGAAACCGTTTTCTCCCGTTACCTCTTAGAATCGTTGCCGCCGTGTCTATAATAAGGCGAATAAGGCATCGTTTGGTGGACCTGACCAAATAATGGCTCCGGCGCAATCATTGAAACTCCAGATGACAGTCCACCTGAGGACGAAATCTGTGTTGTTCCACTTCGAAGGAGCACCAGCCAGAAGAGACCCGCCCTCGGGATGTGGCGGAGACACATACCTCGCCGAAGCAAGAGAAGGCGAATTGTCTGTATATGTTCTTGTAGGCATCATGGACGTGTGAGGCGAACTCCAGTATATCAATATTGAAGTGACACAGCCAGGGATCCCCATCAATCCGCACCGACTGTGGGCTGACAACTTCGCTTAAACGCCTGGTCTCGAACCTAGTTGTGCATTTGCTGCACGGATTCTTAACCCAGACGACATCTCCTGTCATCTGTGGTTAAGGTTGGGGGTTCGCATCAATGTCTCTTACTTGGACGTGGTACTTATGGAACGCGTCATCCGGTGTCGTGGAAGGCGAGATGTCCTCTTTTGGCGTGACATTATACCAATAAACCGCCTTTAACACGGAACGATATTTTTTTCTGGCCGCGATGGTCTTAATATTTCTGTGGTTGCGCTCCACAATTCCATTTCCGGCATGTGAATGTGCGCAACGGAACTTCAAACGCACACCCCAGCCTCTTTCAAATTCCTTGAAGTGCCTGAAAATAGAATATTGGACATTTTTAGGTAATAATAATTTAGTGATACAATTCTTACTAATTAACCCAAAGTTGGAGGAGAAGTAGCGAATTCATACGCTTTTCAAAGCGTATTTGCGCGTAAAAGAAACTGTTGTGGATTCCGAGATGAAATTCGGTCTCCAATGAATGACAAACGCAAGAATTAAATATAAGAAATAAAATGTTTTTATGTATTTACACAATAATACAATGGGTAATACTGTTAGTAAATCCAGGAACGCGGTTAGTAGCAATAATATATATATATATATATATATATATATAGTCTCGAAGTAGGACTTCCTTAGAAGCGGTTACTTCACACTATTACTCTACCTCCAACTCAATCACAGTCTCTGCTCACTCTCGCTCGCTCTCTCTCTATATTCTGACTGACTCTGGGTATTTAACGGCAGCAGTCCAAGTAACACTCTCGATGAGTCCACTTATATGAAAAAGGGGAGGACCTCATAACAGAAACTTAACGAACATAACTGGAATTGGAACTCGACCCTCCTATTAACTATTCCGAGCCATTATCCATGATATCCCCAACATCCAACCTAAAAGCACCTGCTATTCCAAAGCGGTCACCCATCTAAGTACTGACTAGGAACGGCATTGCTTAGCTTCGGTGATCGTATGGAAACCAATGTTTCAACGTGTTGTGGCTGTATGCCGGTGGGAAAGTAATTGAAGCCGAGATGCCAGGTTATAACCGATACCATTGCAGATTCTTCGTTGGATTTTATCAAGAACCTCTAAATACGTAATAGAATCACTATAGACTATATATGCCAACAATATTCAATGCATGGACGATTGGTAGACTTATAAATATGTAAGATAAATTTTGGCAAGTAAATATATTTATCACAACAGAATAAGCAACTGAGTCAATAAATTAATATATGAAAACAAAAATAATTAAATATTGTAATTACCCATTAAATTATTAAATATTGCAAATACCCATTAAATATTACAATTAGACATTAAATAATTAAATATTGCAATTACCCATTAAATTATTAAATATTGCAATTACCCATTAAATTATTAAATATTGCAATTAGTCATTAAATAATTAAATAATGCAATTACCCATTAAATCATCAAATAAGCTTTTTGATGTGAAATATAATTTATCAGGTACATTTTAGAAAGGTCTGTAATTTCGAATGTTGAAACTGATGCAAATTATTCTTCCATTATCGAATTAACAACTTCGGCAAATTCTGAAGAATTCTTGAATCCATTACGGAATGAAGCAACTTTTATGTTTTCGAAAAAGTCTTCATGTTTTTCTTCCCAAACCGTATCCTTCGTTTACGAAGAATAAACTTCATATTCTTTTTACAAGAGAAATATACTGTATATTCATTTAGAATGATCAAATGATACCGTAAAGTATTGCCATTAGCCGCGTGGGGGGGGGATATATTCCAAGAGGACGAGATGATGCCTGACACTGCCTATAATTTTTTTATATCCAATACAGATCTCTGATCATGTTTAATTCGGGGATCCAGAAATGTTTTCGACCATCGACTCCCTTAATAGAATTCTTGATAACTCATCGACCCCCGAGCATCTACGAAAAATATCAAGAATTATTTTCTTCTTTAAAGGTATAACTTGATTTGTCCTTTTTTGCTTCATTATATTTTCTCGATGATTCGTTTTATGTTTAAGTTTCGTTATTGCTTTTTCAATTTATTTCTCTTCCAAAATTAGATATAATAATAATAATAATAATAATAATTTTTTTACTGAAACCGCAATTCCTGCAGACTGTTATATATCATTGAAGATATTCAAAAAAAAACTATCAAAATACAAGTATCTTGAAGTGGAAAACTCAAAAATGTGTCACATAAATAATATCAGTTGTAGTTGGATTCCTCGGTTTGATTAGAAAAGGTTCTGATAGACGCATTCAAGTGATTCCTGGTCGCCCACGCCTTAAAGAAATACAAAACATTGTACTCGCAATAGAGACCACACCTTACGAGAGGCTTTATCTATGTAAAATGTGTGTGATCTTTGGTTGTCTTTTCTTTACTTTAAAAAAGAAAAGTTCAGTCGTAAATGTCATGATACCATTTCTAACCTTCGGTTGCTCATTTGGACACGAAAGGAAGTGAGTAGACAACAGAAATCATCATCATCATCATCAATAATAATAAGAAATTAAAAGAAAAAAAAAAGAATTTGCATAATTTTGTGACGTACGGTGGCTGTTAATAAATAAGTATAACTCCAGACTTCAATGTTAAAATAAAACAGTGTTTAATTACAACCGCAAATAAATACTTACGAAAAGAAAGTAAAAGCCAACCAAAGATAATTAAGCATTTCAGTGAATACATTGTTAATGGGCGGTTCGGTTTAACGTCCCGTAAATCCTAAAACAAAACCCAAATCATCGACGCACAATAATTCACACTAATTCGACTGGATAGTTCTATTCAATAGTCACTCAATAATCACCACAGTCAGTAGCCTGACACCGCTATTTATACATCTGGCAGAAAACATATATTCATAAGTCCAGAGTGTCACGATCGAACCTCATGTCGGTAGTTATTCATTTTCTTCCTATATGACGCATAAATGATACAGGTCGCAATAAATGTCTTAAAACAAATTAATTAATATAACCATTATTGAATTTTCTGACGTCGTAATGGGAAGGAGCTTTTGATGAGTAATAGTAAGGGTATTGCTGTTTCGTTGGAAATTGATGAAATATAGTCGGGATTCCCCACGATTCATACAAGGTGGTGTAATCTTGGATGTGCGGGTGGTGTAATAGATAATGGCTTGGAATTGTTAATCGCAAAACCAACTTCCAATTCCAGTTGATTTCGGTATATTCCCTTATGCGCAAATAACCGTGAGAAAGATATGAATCCATCTCTTCCAAGCTATGGGTTAATTAGTAAGACTTTTTTCAATAAATCATTATTATGTCCTCCTAAAGAAATTTTTACAATCTGAAAATATTATATGGCTTTAACTAACATGCAAAGGGTTGATAAGCCGTCAAAAACAAATCAATCAGCCAGAAATACTGAAGAGAAAAATGTAATTTTTTTTCACCCCAAGCAAGGCGGGAGTGCCACTAATACACAAGGGGTTCAGAGAGTGGGAACAAGGGTAAAGAGGCATGGTAGAGGAAATGATGAAGAGAAGGATAAGGAATAGATCAAAGCACCTGGAGATGTCGACTGGCATTGCATTCGAATATTTATAGCTATCAGGGAAGCAAGTAAGAGGAAGAGAGTTCCACAGGAGAGAAGTGCAAGACATGAAGCTATTGGAGTAGAAGAGATGGCTACATCTAACCGTTTCGACAGTCAAAGGGTAGGACTGGGATGTCAACCTAGTGGCACGTTTAAATTCTCGCAGTTTCGGAACCAGCGAATGTAGCTCGTCGCAGTAGTTACCATGAAAATATTTGTAGAAAAGACAGAGAGAAGCAGCGGCACGTCTGTGAGAGAGCGACTGTAAACGAGATGTCAGACCAGCGCCAATCACATTGCATATAAGTGCCTGGATTTTATCGAGGATCTAAAGACAAACAGCGCGGGATTCAGACTATATAATGCAGCAGTATTCCATGCAAGAGCCAATGGTTGATTTATAGATTTGAAGGATGGAATCGGGAGATAAAAACTTTCTGGCGCGACACAGCGAACTAACTTTCTGTTATAGTGGAACACACCTATTCTATAGTTAATAGACACTCCCACCTATAATAAGTAGGAGTAGTAATAGCAGTCGTTCAGTGAGTGGCTCAGTCAGTCGATGTCGGACGACTGTTAGTCGGATATTAAAGTATCAGCCACCACAACTAGATTACTGCGTCATTACCTATTATATCAAGTTCCTAACGTTTTGTACGTCGAACCTATTTTAGGACCGACTTAGTACAAATACAAGCCTCCACTGTAAAACCACTACATAACACTTTCCTTGCGGTAGATGAAGCTATTGATTCAATGCATTTGTTCCATCTCAGGTCAAATGTAGTAGCAGTAGTAATCATATTACTATGTTTAACCATGACTGCGTCGTCGAATCGACGCTAATGATTTCAGAAGGCTCCGCTATTCACGCAGAGACAAATACTCATAGAGATCGGCTTGCCTCATAAATTTGAGAATTACCACCAAACTAGCAGTATAACCCGTCTATGCCCGGGTGTTTCATTACTGGGAATGTTTGCCGTTCAATTGGAGCAGTTTTAGTTTAATGTCAGCCCACCCGAAAATCAATATTAGTAACATTTGGGAGAAACTGAGGCACATCCCTAAATGGTAGGATAACAATTTGAATGGGGGGGGGTGGCCCTGAAAAGGGTAATGTATAATAATAAATAATATTATTGTAATAATGTAAACGATTTATTTTTATTAAAGTTTTTATAAAAGATATATATCTAAGAACAGATAGTAAATAGAAAAACGTTGCTGAAAGTTATAATAGACAGGAAGTGGTGGAAAGCCAATGTGGCCAACAATTTGAACTCAAAACCGGCACTGAAGAATTATCTATCAAACAAAAACAGATTCATCGAAATCGGATGAAAACTGTGAAAATACATAAACAACATCCGATCACAAACACACACACACAATTACATACGCACACACATTTTGAGAATTATAGATATAGATGTATATTTATATTGTAATAATTCTCTTTAAATGTTTATCAGGAAAATTTATAATACATTCCGATATAAAAAAAAAACAAAACAAATAAAACAAAGTTTTTGTATTTCTCAAAATGAGCTGGTTCCCAGACTCCATGAATTCAAGCGCCCTACGAGGCTGGCATCCCGTTCCCACCCTTACACGGTAGAAGCTTTTAAATGTAGCCGTCTCTTCTACTCCAATAGCTTCATACCTCACACCTCTCGCCTGTGGAACACCCTTCCCAGTTACTGTTTCCCTGAGAGCTATAATCTCCAACTATTCAAATGTAATCTCAATCGACATCTCCAGTTACCTTGATCTATCCACTATCCCTCTCCTCATCCTTTCTTCTATCACTCCTATCTGCTCTCGCTCCAAATCTTCTGCAAACCCCTGCATCCTAGTGGGTTCACGCCTTGCTCGGGGCGTAATGCTTAAAAATAAAATTAAAATATTTCTTGTATCTTCACAGTTTTCGAATATGTAATTTCATTGCACCGAAACCTGGACGTGTATCCGAATTAAGGGAACGATGTTGTCAGAACGAATTCATTCAAGGGTTTCACTTATATTAGAGGAATCACGTTGATTGTATAGTTCTCATAAAACAATCCTGCACATGTTATGCGCGTTTTCGTTCAATTTAATAACTTTTGCAGCTGATCAGTGTACAAAGCGCTTAATGATAAATCACTTAACATTAATTGACGTCTAAATATTTCATAAGGTGGGGTTTATTTAATTCAATTAATGGAAATGGTTTTAAAAGGCCACTGAAGTAAATCATCAAGAATAATATGTCTTCTGTTTCTAATAAAGTTAATTTAACATCAGCTGTCGAGGCAAGAGATTATTGCGAGCCGTTGTGAGATAAATACGTGTGTCTCCTGAAAATGCCCACAACAAACATGGCAGACTCGAAGTAGGAGTCCACATAAAAGAAATATAATGTAACAACAAGAACCGAT